ATGTAAAGCAGAGGCTGAGCACTATCTTTTGTGCATGTTCTACAGCTGTGCTTGAATCTGGAACAGTGAATTTGCAGGTGTCATGATCTCACAGGTAACTTGTCAGTATAGGTATCAGAGTTGCTACCATCTTTTCCCATAATGCATTAGTGTGATTTTTTTTTTTAGTTATAATTATACAGCATGTCCCAAGCTATATACATGCCAGCCAGTCATTGTTGAGGCTACTGGCTCAATATATCCGTAATGGTGGTAGAGCAACCCTAATACCCTCAGTTATCTGTAATAGTCATGCACAAGGGTTGGGATTTCTGTATTTAAAGTCTGCCAAACGGTGTTCCCTCAAATTTTTGCCTACCCTGAGTGGAATGAATTTTCTTGTTTGTGGAGGTGAGGTGTGGTGCATGTAACACAATGCATGTGGTGGAATGGGGCCCAGCGGGTTCTGTGTGGGAGGGGGCTCAGCGCTGGGGCACAGGGTTGAGATGGAGTGTGAGGGCTCTGGCTTTGGTTGTTAGGTCTAGGGTGAGGCTGAGGGTTAGGGTGAAGGGGCTCTGGCTGGGGGTGCAGACTCTGGAGTGGAAGATGGAGGACTCCAGGTTTGGGGAGGGGCTCAAAGCTGAGGGTTAGGGTGCAGGAGGGGGTACAGGCTCTGGTCTGGGTGTATGGGCTTTGGAGTGCAGGAGGGTGCTCAGAGCTTGGGGGGGTCTCAAGGTGGGGCAGGTGGTCAGGGCTTGGGTTTATCTGGGCAGCAAGGAGGGGCTTCATTTCCCCCAACTGTGGTAGTGGTAGTTCAGTGCTGGGTTCTTTGGGGAGAGGCTCCCCTTGACTAGCCACAGAAGCGTCAAGTTTTGGGGGGAGAGAGCTTCCCCTGCTGCAGCCCAGGCCCCTATGTGAGGCTTAATGGGAAGCTGTAGGGCCACGCAGCTTGAGGGGAACTTAGCTGCCAAGGGAGATGATCAACATTAAAGGTTTACAGCTGTAGCAGGCCTGATTGCCAAGCTGGGTTGACTTTCCCAGTCTTTCCCCAAACCAGAGACTTTTCTTAAACTGTTAACCTAATCTGCAGTACTCTGTGTCTATGCCTGTGACTGGTTATGGATGACCACTCCAAAGAGCTGCTAGTTTGACATGGACTGATACCTCCTTTGGAAAATGGCTATGTCCTTTGGCCACCTGAATTGGCTGCCTGTGACCAGTACTTGTATTAGGAAATGTGATAGTTTTATCCAGCAGGGTGCTGGGGAGGGTGACTTCTGTTTCTTGAAATAGAAGAGCTGTGATGCATACGGCTGTCCATATTGGACTTTAGTGGTGGTTGGAACTAAAATAGAGAGCTGGGTTAGGAGCAGAATGCCATACTGGAAGAAGATGCTGTAGCAGACTTTATTTTAAAGAGACATTGTCAGATTAGGTGTTTAAATAACCCTTCCTTACCTATGTTACAGCTGCTATTTTGGATGATCAAAACAGAATTTTTAAAATAGCATTCTCTGCTGCTTCATTTCTGCATTTCACTCTCCTGGAGTATGGAGAACTTCAGGTCATTTTAACTTTTTGCTTTCCATTCACTATTGTGATGTCAGTGTGTATTGTCAATGTGTTGTTGTGATATGTCAGTATTTGGGTTCCGGATACCACAGAGAATTTTTCTGGGTTTTACAAAAAATTGTTTCCGTTTTTTAATTTAAACATAAGATTTTTCTGAAAAGAAAATCTAAATGTGGAGATTTTCCTGATTCCCTGTTATTGGTGGTAACTGTCACATCAGGCAGGCTGCGCATTTAGGTTGCAGTTTTAACTCCCCTCCAACTATTCTGATATAAATGTATTTGAAATATTGTTTTGTTGCAGTGCAAATATCCTCCCTGCAGAGTTTGCAATATAAACATCACAGCATCATGCATGAGAACCTGTATAGACACTAATTTTGTTTTACTGCCCAAGCAGAAGTTACAAAAAGTACCCAAACAGCTAAGTAATGAAAAGAAAACACAACTTTTTACAGTTCATTAGTTCTGGACGTTGTAATGCAAGTATATAGGTTTTGAAAAATATAATCTGATGCTTCTTTAATTGTATCACCCACCAGGCTTTTGTAAAATATCAAGTTCTGTCTGTATTGTTTTAGTAAAAGGGACTTGATGGGAGCAAACAGGTTTTGTTCGTGTGTTTGTTGTAGTCTCAGGTACGCTGTAATAGAAATGGCTGCAATACTGTTTGCAAACTATTTTCTGGTAAAAACTCTCACCCCCTCCTTCCTGCA